ACAGTGCTAAGGGAGAGACTTCTAACACACAAGATACTGTAGGTGATAATTTACTCTTTATATAGGTAACAGGCAGAAGAGGATTTCTGGAATGCTATGTAAGAGTAGCATTCTTGAGGATCAACATTTAAATCTTTTTTCTTTGAATTTATTATAATTGTGTGTAATGCATATGCTTGTGTGTGTGTGTGTGTGTGTGAGAGAGAGAGAGAGAGAGAGAGAGAGAGAGAGAGAGAGCTTCATGCCACAGTTCATGTGGGGGACAGAACAGCCTTTAAGAGTCTCTTCTCTCCCCCCCCCCATAGATTCTGGAACTGAACTCAAGTCAGCAGACTCCTGCTGACCTAGTTTATTATTTTTTAATACTGCCAAATTGTTTCATAAAAGCATTGTATTGAGTTACAAAGTCATCAGCAATGAATGACAGTAACTGAGTTTTCCACATCAGCACTAGAACTAAGTCTCCTCACGAAGACAAAGCAAAACAAAACAAAACCTAGATACCTTAATGGGCTTAAAATTCAGCCTTGTTATTGTTGTATTTGGCATTTTTATTATTAGTAGTAATGTTGAACATTTCCTCATTTTTAATTATTTTATTATCTCTTATGAAAGGACTTTATTCATTTGGTGTTTTGGCTTTGTTATATCCTTATTTCTGTCTTAAAAAGAAACTTCTTGAGGCAGCTTTTATATAACGTGAATTAGCTATTATTAAGTGAACAGTGCAATAGCATTTAATGTAGGTGCAGCACTGTGCAATCCCCAACCTATATTTTGTTTGAAGCACTCCCATCTCTCTATGGTACCCATTAAGGAGTCTGTCTCTGTTCACCCCTCTCCCTGGACTCTGGGAACCATTAATCTATTTTCTGATCTTATGGATTGGGTATTGCATATAATGGAATCAAGCAATCTGACTTTTTGTGCTTGGATTTTTTTTTTTCACTTAGACTAATTTTTTTGTATTATTAGTATAATTACTGTATGTTCAAAATTTACCCTTTTGCAGCCATAGACTGTTATAAGAACTGAAGCTTTTGTGTATCTGAGTCCAAAAACCAATAGCATAAACAATGTGCTGTTTCAAAGATGAATCACCTACAAGTGTTGCTTTTCAAGAGCATGTTTGTGAGATAACTATCGAATTAGGAATTAGGTGGCAGAAGGAAGGTTTTGATAGGCTCTCCTAGGGTCTTCCAGAGTATAGTTTCTAGGCTGGAATAAGCAAATGGTAGGAAGCGAATGTCCAAGAAGAGTGGTGAGGTTTGAGAAATGCCTTTGTTGTTGTTGTTTTGTTTTGTTTTGTTTTGTTTTGATAGCAGGGCCCTGTAGACCCAGGTGGCCTGGAACTTACTAAGTCTGTCTTACAGAGATCTGTCTGCCTCTGCCTCCTGAGTGCTGGGATAAAAGGCATGTGCCTGGCCTGAGGAAAGGCTGTTTTAAGATGAGGGGACTGAGTATGTTTATAGGCTGATGGACAAAAAAAATGAACTATTATGGTACAATAGTGACTTTCCCATTATCAGGAAGGCAACATCTTTTAATCTACTTAATCTTTTTTGTTTGTTCCTGGGGATATTATTCTGTTTATATTTTGTAATTTGACAATCTAATCCCTAAACTTTGATATTTATAAATATATGTTTAGTTTGTTTTTTTATTTACTTATGGATACAGTGCAGAAGAAAGAAATACTCGTGTAGATACAGAAAAATAAAACACTAAATTTAAAGTAACACTGTAAAGAAATTTTTACAGGGGCTAGAGAGATGACTCAGTGGTTAAGAGCGCTGGCTACTTTTGTAGAGAACCCATGTTTGGTTCCCAGCACCTACATGGGAACTAACAACTGTCCATAACTCCAGTTCCAGGGGATCTGATGCCCTCTTCTAACCTCTGTGGCGTTGCATGACATGGGTGCACTTACACATAAAGTAAAAATAAATAAAATGCTTTTAAAAAGAAATTTTTACATTAAAAATTTCAAGAATGAGAACTTCTGATTTCTTTATTGTTTATTCACTGAGTTCATAGTCACATTTATACTTGCAAATATAATTCTGTTCTTATAACAATGACAATAAATTAAATGCCTATTGTCTGTTGATTAGTTCATAGGAAAAGAGTAGAATTATTTGCAGATAATGATGCTACCATAACTTGTAATCATAGGACATCCTGAAGCTTTTATAATTTCTTATAAGAATAATAAATACATGCATATTATACTTGGGCTTAAGCGTGTTGATTTAGTGCCAGGTAAATATCTCTAAAATCTCCCTTTTGTCATTTAAATTGATGTTTTCATCTTTTTGCTCATTTCCTCAAGTGGTGTGCCTCCAGACAGCTGCTGTCTAGAGTTAGGGAAAAAGTCAAATCAAGGTCTGTGCAGGGTAACCCAATACCAGTGCTTCTGCATGGAGGTAGTGAGCTGTGGAGGTAGTCACAGAGACATTCTCTGGGCAATGGATGTAGACAGGTTATTTTCTGTGCTGTGAGATTTCTTTGATATGGGATATAATTCCTCTATCAAAAGAAAAATAATTTTTTCCTGGGTAGTTTATGGTATGAGATGGGATTTGTGCACAATTCTAAAAACATAATTTTTTTAAAGCTCAAATTGAGTTTAGACTTACTTCATGATTACCAGGTAAATGTGGCAAATTGCTGCATTTGAACACATTGCTTTTAACACTGAAATTCATTTCTCTTACCCAACCTACCTCGTTTAAATTTTACAGTTTATTCCTATTCTCACTCCTTTGATAAAAAACAGTAGGGACTCCTTTGATAAAAAACAGAACCGCAGCTTTCAAAGTGAATAACTTGCCCTTCGTTGCACAGTAAGTTGTAGAACAAGGATTTGAACCTAGATCTCTTTGGTGCCAAATTTTAAGCCCTTAAACTTCTAAGCGAGAGATGGTTAACCTTTAATATACAAAAAAAGTAGCTGGAGAGCATACATTGCTGGGCCCACATTTTATAGGACTCCCATGGAGGCCAAGATATGTTTCTGTTGCTACTGCTCCTCCTAGGGACACTTTGAGGCCCACTTTTCAATTCTGTACTGATTTGGAACATGCTTTGGTGCCTCTGAGGAGTAAATGAATTCAGATTTGTGTTGATAATCAGTAACATTTGTTGGTTGATTATCATGTTCCTGCTTAATCCCTTTCCATCCTCACATTAATCTTAGGGGAGGTAGTTAAGTTGCAGGAAGGGACTGGAGATCCCCACCTGTAGAGGACACCAAGAAGAGAGGAATGCCCAGTTAGACCCATGGCGTGGCTGTGGTACAGCTGGTGGCCCCCAGTGTTGCTTCTGTGGATTCCAGTGGCCAGTGCTCTCAAAGCCCTCTCCAGGAGAATCCATGCTATGGGAAGGGTAAGAAAAAAGTGACCCTTTCTTTTATCGGGATTTCCTGTCTTTGGAGAACCGTTTTAGTCTGGGAATTCTTGTTATTTCCCCAGCATTCTGAGGGTAGACAGTGGATTTCTTATTGAGATGGATGAAGTGATTCTGGAAATGATCTGTAGGCAATCTGTGCTACTTGTTAGCATGGGTAGAAGGGATTCCAGGAGATTTCATACGTAAGAACCATGCTAGTGAATTGTATTAAATTAAAAGAAAGCTATGTCGACTGATGGTAGCTACTCTACAACAGGACATTCCTAATCTGCAGTATCAGTGAGCTATTGACTGCTTCAACAGCCAAGAAGAATCCCCAAAGCACAAAGAAGGATGTGTGGGAAAAGGTCAATCTGAAATTATGTCTAAAACCTGTACTCTGCTGAGAGGAAACTATGTAGTTTGTCCATTAGTTTTAAAGAGAGAAATTATAAAGCTGAGTCTTAAAGTGAATATGTCCCAAAAAGAAAGAAGTCCTAAGAGAAAAAGAATAAGGAAGTTTCAAAATGTGAGCGAGATCATGTTGGTGTACAAATACTGTATGTGCTTGTTTCCATCAAAAACTGTTCAGTCACGGTTATGTTCAAGATACTTATAAAAATAAGACCTGTGTGTCTTCTGCTTAGTGAGAATTTATAGCAGACCTCACATTCAAGTGTCTAGTTAATAACAGAGCATCTGAATCTGAAATTGGAATAGCCTGATATTCTATCATCCATCCATCCATCCATCCATCCATCCATCATCTATCATCTATCTCTCTATCTCTATCTATCTATCTATCTATCTATCTATCTATCTATCTATCTTCTATCATCTATTATCTATTATCATCTATTATCTATCTACTTACCATCTATCTATCAATGTCAATAAGCAGATTTCCAATTCAAATAATCGCCCCCTGAAAGAACAGCCCTACAAAGATTTTGCCAATCAAAAGGAGTCATAGCACCTGAGTTATAGTATAAGCTGCTGGTATCCCATAAGTAGCCACAGATTCTTTTAACCTCTGAATTATTTTCCAGTCCAGGGGCTCGTGATATATCTGCCTCATACTTCCCTGTTTCGTCTGCTAAACAGGTCCGCACCAAAGTCCAAATAGCTAGAGTACCTCTAGGGAGGGGGTTTTTAGCATCTTTATCTGATAACTCTTTTCCTAATCATTCCCAAGAGGCAGCAGCTACAGACTCCTCAAGAAACCACGGGGCCTCTGCTGCGACAGTATCCAAGAACTTTTCCACCGTCTCAGCCTTAACTTAATCCTGCCACGCTCTAAAAGCTGCACTAGCACAATGTGCACTTTCGCTTTCGATCCGCCAGCACCCATTTTCTCTAAGTTGCTTCTCTGTCCCTTTCCTGGGAACTTTAAGTTTTAAGAATGATGTATTCTACTTTTTTGGGTATTCACTCTCCTTTTATCTGTTTAAGAAAAGGTTTCAAATGCAATCATGACAACTCTGGAATCAAGAACAAAAAGGAAATTCAACCTAGACACTTAACTCAACATTAGGGTACTGAATTCTGACATGTGGTTTGATGTTTGATGTGGTTTGATCACAGTGTTTCTACTGCTTTGTTTGTTGTAGGTTAACAAAGCCCCTGTCCTTTGCTGACTGTGTTGGGGATGAGCTGCCATGGGGATGGGAAGCAGGCTTTGACCCTCAGATTGGTGCCTACTACATCGATCACATTAACAGTAAGTTTTCCTGTTTGGTGAAATAAAATATATCAGGAGAAAAATCCCCCCAAATCTATAGTTAGTCATACAAAAGGATGAACATCTTACAAAGTAAATTGCATTATTTTAAACTCCTATTTTCTTAATGACTGATACATAACTGCAGTGCCCATTTGGGTACTTGGGGCATTTATGGGAACTATTCTTATGGGGACTGAGAAAGGAAATAGGCGCCTGGGCTGGTTGACTGACTGTTGGGCAGGCAATGAATTTTCTAACTCAGTGTAGGTCTAGGAGCTTGTGGAAGTCTACAGCCATTGGGTGCCTCTCTCTATAACCCCTATACCTCCTGATTTGCCCCAGAAAGAGATGGGTATGCTCATGGTGTGGTCTAAAGCCCCCAGCTGACATAGCCTGGGGGCTCGGTGGAGAGGAATGGACACTCATTGGTGGCTCTGGAAGTCAACATAGAGACCGAAAACCTGTTTCTTCTTTCTGTCTGCTGATTTGTTTCAGGCTTCGTGGGGGTAAAGCTCTCATTTTAACAGCTTTTAGATCTATCATGGGCTAGGGCTAGGCTAGAGCAGAGAATTACTATAGCCATGAACTTTTAAAAACACATATTTGAAGTATTTTTATACATATTTTTCTGAGATCTATTCATATATGTTTTTAAAGATATTTATTTATTTATTTATTTATTTATTGTTGTTGTTGTCTTTTTGAGACAAAGTCTCCCTGTAGCCCTAGCTAGCCTGGAACTTGCTATGTAAATCAGGTTGGCCTCCATCTCACAGAGATCCACCTGCCTCTGCCTCCGGAGTGCTGGGACTAAAGGCGTGCACCACCACACCTATCTATTTTATGTGTACTTTAACTAGTGCTTTGCCTGCAGATATGTATGTGTGCTATGTATGTACCTGGTACCCAAAGAGGCCAGAAAAGGGCATCAGATTCTCTGGAACTGGAGTACAGGTGGTAGTGAGCCACCATGTGGATTCTGTGAACTGAATCTGGGTCATCTACAAGTGCTCTTTAACTGCTGAGCCATCTATCTCTCCAGCTCCCTATTCTTACATTAAAAGATTTATAGCTGGGCGTGGTGGCGCATGCCTGTAGTCCCAGCACTTGGGAGGCAGAGGCAGGCGGATCTCTGTGAGTTCAAGGCCAGCCTGGTCTACATAGTGAGTTCCAGGCCAGCTGGGGCTACAGGGAGACCCTGTCTCAAAAAGACAAAAAAAAAAAAAAAAAAAAAAAAAGATTTAAATTAAAAAACAGTATTCTTTAATAAATTTAGGAATTATACTAGTATAGAAAAGTATTTTATTTAATACCAATTAATGATGATTTGTAGCTGCCCTTGTGTAGGTATAGAATATATTTTCTGAGAGGCCCCAAACAGCTTATATTAGCAGCAGTAAATTCTTACAGGTAGGTGAGAGGCAGGAGTGCAAAGGAACAAGCCCTCTAAGGTATTAAGTCAGTATTCTAGAAAGTGCATGGTTAGTAATCTGTTATAGAGTGTCTGGGCAGTCACACACTGTTGGGAACCAGCTTTGATGTATACATTAGTTCTACATAAATGTGGATAAGTTTGTACACGTTGTTACCTCAATCCTTTTATATCACTAAAATAATTTTTTATAGAGACCTTTTCTCTCTCCATGAAAATTTCTAAATTTTCATTCAGAAATCTTCATATTCTCTCTCTCTCTCTCTCCCGCACTCTCTCTCTCTCTGTATGTTTCTGGTACTGAGAACCCAATACTTGGTGCAGACTAGAATTGTGTACTTTTTTAAAGTTAGTTTTTAATTTTGTGTTTTTACTAAACTTTTCTAAATTGTAGTGCTATCATATACTTTAAAATAATAACTATCATCTATCTGTCTTTCTGTCCATCTAAGTACTGTTACTGCTTATTAGTACTTGGCCACCAAGTGACAAATCTTTAAGAGGAAGAGGCTAATTTTGGTAGAATTAAGTTCATTTTAAACAGTTTCATCCTTATGTTATTGCAAATACACTTAGATGGAAAGTCTGAAATCCAGAGCTACTTAACTTTTTAATACTTTGATACTTTTAATACTTAGATAAAAATTTAGTCTTCTTTCCACAAAGCAGTGTTTGGGAAACCAAAAACCAGCCTGGCTGGCCTGGTTCACCAGAAACGAACTCTCCTCGTAGCCAAATGTGGACTTGGCTTGCCTCAGCTCCCCCCCCTTTCCTTTGCTGTGGAAATCCCCCTGCAGCTTTCTTTTTTTGGACCCTCCCTCACTCCTCCCTTTTCCATCTCATTCTTCTCTCCTGTTTGGTATCATTATCATTTCCTGATTTAAAAAATTTCTCCTACCACTTATAGTGTTTATTTTATGTCGTGATCTGTAAACACTGTAAACTCTCAAAATGAAACTAAACAAAACTACAAAAAGAAAGTAACAAATTTTTCACCTCCCCTTCAAAACTATTCCTTAGCCACATACATTCCAGGGTAGCTATGAATGTGGCCCAACACAAAATCATAAACTTATTGAAAACACTGAATTTTTTTGGTCTTTTTGAGACAGGGTCTCCCTGTAGCCCCAGCTGTCCTGGAACTCACTATGTAGACCAGGCTGGCCTTGAACTCACAGAGATCCACCTGCCTCTGCCTCCCGAGTGCTGGGATTAAAGGCATGTGCCACTACGCCCGGCAACACTGAATATTTTTAAAGGTTAAACACATTTATGTGTGTACATGTGTGAGTTCCTATGTAACACATATGTTCAGGAGTCTGCAAATACAAAAAAGGGTGTTAGAGCTCCTGGAATTTGAGTTACAGGTGGTTGAAAGTTACCACGTGGGTGTTGGGAACTGAACATACTGATCAGCAGCAACAAGCACTCTTAACCGCTGAGCCATCTCTCTAGCTCCAACATTAAAATAGTTTTGTGACTTGATTGCATAGTTTTCCACTGTGAACTTATTTTTTTTTCATTATTATTATTTTATGTGTATGAGTATTTTGCCTGCTTGTGTGTAAGTGCACTTGTGTCATGTAATGCCCACAAAGGCCAGAAGAGGGCAACAGATCCCCTGGAACTGGAGTTACAACCTCCATGTAGGTGCTGGGAATGTAATCCAAGCCCTCCATAAGAGCAGCCAGTGCTCTTAAGTGCTGACCCATCTCTCCAACCTTCCCACTATGAACTTTGTGGATGACAATAGTGTGTCAAAATGTCAAAAGATTGTATATGCCTATATCCCTTACCATATGTGGTCCCCTCTCTTCGTGGCCAGAATCACTGAAAGCCATGGTCTGCATGAACTTCACTTCCTGATTGTTCTCCCGTCATCTCACAGAGACCACTCTTGCTGGGTCATCTGAGACACCACAAATGGAAACAGCCAGGACTGCTATAGTCTTGTCTTCCTTGACTTGTCGCTGTGGGTTATTCCTTCTTCCTAACCCCTCTGAATTACGTGGGTCTTCTGTTGAGGATCTCTTTTCCTTACCTGATTGTTCCTTCCTGTCTTTCTCCTGCTGGTCCTGTCTTTACCTGTGCCTGCTCTTGGGATTTCTGGAAAAATCTTCTGCCATTTGCATCCTTTGGATCTTCCTGGTTGATAATTTCAGGTTTTTCCTGTAGGCTATTGACTGCTAAAGCTAAATTTGTCCCTTAAGTCTTCCAGCTATAGGTATTTTGTTCCTCTCTAGAAGATTGCTCTGATTCTGCCCCCACTGGCCTCTCTACTTTCATCTCTTGCCTGTACTGGAGGGTCCTGGAGTAGCATGGTGTGCTTCCATGGCTACCTGCAATTCTTTCGGTGTTTTGGTCTAGCCCCGGAGATGTGCCCAACCCCTAGGTCTTCCCTTATGACCACCAGCCTTGTAGGTTTGGTCTATTCATCTGCCAATGCTCCCTAAAGACTTCTTTGACACTCACCTCGCTACAGGTCCCCTGAGAACTCTGGATTAAATACCTAATTCATGCATTTTTTTAATACTCAAGACATAGGAATTTTTTTCAAAGCATTATCATTTGATGCTTTTATTTATTTGGATGTTTTCCTCACTTGAATGTGAGCCTCTTGGGGGCAGTTACAGTATCTTTTATGTTTTTATCCTTGGGTGCCTAGCCTAATGTTAAACTCTTGAAGGAAGAGCTGTGTTATTTAATTTACAGATCAGAAACTGATCCTTTTTTTAAAATAAAAGAATTAAAATGTATTTCAAACATAAGTTATGCTCCAGAAAGTATCATTCTGAATATGTAAAGCCTGGATTATCAAAATATGAATTTTTAAGCCTACCACTTTGCTTTAGTTTATATAATTGTTGTCTGGTAGCCTGTTGGATTTACTCTGCCCTAAAGACCCAAATTACCCACAGCAAGTAGTTTCCTCACTGAGAAGGATCTGACCCGTTATCTCATTAATCTTCAAGACATTCCTGCAAAGTAATTTATAGGAAGCAAATGGTATTATCTTTTCATAACAGCTGGTCCACACATATGCTATGTTTTGACATTGTATAGTTTCAGCATTATTTTCTCTTTGTTTATATTAAAAAATGAAATAAGGAATGTTTGGTTGTTTCATACTCTTTCTGTAAGACACTCTTTAGAGGTAAAGGATTTGACCTTGACAGCGAGAGTAACTTCAGTCCGTGCTTCATGTTAGCACTCTGCCTTCTTAGTTGGTATGTGTGGTGTGGAGTGAAAACTTTAATGGGGGTGCTGCATCTACCTAGAAAGTAATTATAGAGTTATAAAGTTTTGATACCATCATTACAACCAGAGGGAAATTATTTATTTAAAAAATATTTGTTTATTTAAGCCAGGCGTGGTAGTGCATGCCTTTAATCCCAGCACTCAGGAGGCAGAGGCAGGCAGATAGATCTCTGTGAGTTCAAGGGCAGCCTGGTCTACATAGTGAGTTCCAGGACAGCTGGGGCTACAGGGAGACCCTGTCAAAAAGATCCCCCCCCAAATAAATAAATAAATAATTGTTTCTTTATTATTTTTGTGTATGTGTGAG